CCCCTCCCCCCCCGTGACACACATATATTTATTTTAAGAGCATAGAAAAATGTAGAATTGTTGTGTCCTGAAACAATTGTGATGATAGAGAGATCGGACTCATGTATTTTAAATCGATTAGGTGGTTAGCTGGCTCCCAAATCCAGGCTGGGGTAAGCTCAGATCTTGCACTGTAATAGTTAGGTTCGGATAACTATGGTCTAGTGTCCAAATTTAGATTTAGGATTAGGGACAAATCTTAAATTATAAGACCCCAACTTACCAAAATATAATTTCAATTTCTAATAAAACATTTAACTCAAATTAAATCTTCTTTTAATCCAAAATATAAAGCCCAACACTTATATTAAGTTGGGATACTTCCGGATGATTTCAGAATCTTAAAATGTCCCATACTTTTCTTCCATCGATTCTGTTAATAACTGTTCAATCTTGCTCTATTCCCTTTTGAAATTCTAAAATTCACTTCCTTTGATATCACTCTTAGAAAATTCTTAACAAAATTTTGCCACCATTTTAATCGAGAGTTTTTGTAGGGGACTCCGTCTCCCTATGATGTAATTAACTATTAAAACTTGCGCTCGTAGGAGATTTAGAACCCGCATTAATTTTCAAAATTGATTTTCAAAATTGATTTTTAAAATTCACTTGAAAATTTACTTCATAACGATCATTATTGTCATATGATTGCTAACGGATGATATTATCTTTTTTTCAAATAGACCTATCGTGTGCTAGCATCAATTTGAATATGAAATTAATGATCTTTTTCTCTTATTAAATCCCATTTTGACCTTCTCGGGATCATATGTGGTTCTCCTTTGAATCGGAGTATGATAACTAAGAGAAAATCTATAATTTTGGATTTGAACCTATTAGGAGATTTGATCTCCGTCTTTCGAGATGGTATATCATCCCTAATGATCTATTTGACTTCAGAGTTAAAATTCAAACTTAATTTCCCAAAAAAACAAAAAAAAAAATCTTCAAAACTTAAATTAGTATTCTTTAGAAAAATTTAATCAACGACGATCGCTATCGCCATGCCCAAACAATTACCAAATAGTGGTATCTTCTCCCTCAGGGGAGGTATATCATCTGTTTATAAAGTTTTTGGGCATGAGATCAACGATAGTCTACTTAGAATATCATAACTAGAAATTAGATCAAACTTCATTTTGACCTTTTGAGGTCAAATGTGGTTCTATCTCGGATCTAGTTATGATATTCAAGGTAGGATTTGTAATCTTAAATTTAAACCTCATTCTGGAGTTTTATTTCCACTTCATGAAGTAGTATGACTCTCCTAATGAGATGTTTGATCTTAAGATTCAAATTCAAGTCAACTTTAAATCTTCCCAAAGAAAACTAAGCTTTTCAAAACCTATTTTTAAAAAAAATTCCACCAACACTCGCAAGCCCATGTATACGAAGGGTAGTCCTCTATTGGCTCCAGTTTCGCATCAAGTTCCCAGGACTCTGCATATAGCCAACAGATAGCTGCCCTTTCTGCCGAGCTAGAGTAGGTTAGAAAAGCTCAAGTTGACTGGCAGTTGCAGATGCAGATGCAGTAGTAAATGCAACAATAACAGATGTAGCAACAGTTGCAGATGCAAAATAATCAATTATTGGATGAAATATGAAAAATGAGAGAGAAACTTAGTTAGAAGAAT